TTATGTCATTTAAAATAGTATGAGAATGGTTGATGTTTTAAGCATATTTTCTGAGAGCCAATGAAGAACAGAAAAAGCAAACATATTTGCCAGAACAATCAAAAGACTGATTGAATTTTGGTTGGAGGCAATGAGTATAGAGGGTGATGTGGGGGTAGTTGATGAAGGAAAGGGAGAAATCAAGAATGGGCTCAATTTTCTCGTTCAGAGGCTTGAATTAATGGAGGTGCCATTATTGAAGTAAGGGACACAACAAGAAATATCACAGTTATTGGGCCCCAAAGTGTTGAGAGTGAGGATAAGATGATCTCCATTGTGGGTATTTTCTATTCAATATGTCTATATAGAACATTTGAGAGATGAAACATATATGGTGAGTTGATGAAGGTTTGGAAATACACACTTTGGAAACTGGACTAAAAATAGAGCATTGTGAGTCAAAAGAATATTGATAGGAGTTTAATCCTTGGAATTGAATGAGATTGCCCAGGGAGAACTGTAATGTGAGAAAGGAGCAAGATTTAGAACATAACCCATCATGGCTGTTTAAGAGATAGGCAAAGGTAGGGGAGCTCATAAAGAAGGCTGAGAAAGTTTGACCTAATTTGTAGGAGGAAATGCAAGATACCATTTATCTTCTCTACTGTGACTTCATAAATTTCATATTCTATTGAGGACTATGGTTTTTCAAATGTTAGTGTGTCAAAATCACCTGAGGTGCTTGCTAAAAATTTGGTTTCCTGTACTCACCCCCACAGATTCCTGTACAGCACATGTAGAGTGGTAGCCATTTCTGCATTAACAGGCATCCAAGATGCTTCTAAAACAGGTGATTCTTAAAATAAACTTTGAGAAACACCTTTCTAGAAAACGATGTGGAATGGTTGAAAAAGTAATGCTTCAGAATCAGATGTACATGAGGGTCCTGGTTTTTACCACTCGGTTTGTGGGACCATAAGCAACTCGGTTAATTTAGGATTTGTTTTCCATCAGTGCTTGAGAATATAATATATATCTTCCATTGCTTAGAATTATTACAAGTTGTATATGCAATATGCTATATTAAGAACCTGACATATAGAAGGAGCTCAGTAAATGTGAGTTGTCTTTTGGCAGCTTTTAAAAAAAACAAAAACAAAAACCCAGAACACAGCTGTAAACTTAAAAGCCAGTGAAAAAATAGAAGGAAATACTTGTCATTAGCCTTATGCATTTTGTTTTGTAGATCAGAGTCAACTGCTTTTTACCTTGAACCTACTGAATTAGGCTTGTGTAAAATTAAGTTACTGATTTAATAGATTTTATTATCTAGTTTCTTCTGGCAGTCTTCAGTTCCATAGACATTAAATTTGAACAGCATGATAGAAGCAAGGTTAAAGTGTGAAACAGAAGCAGAGAGAAATTTAATAGAGGGACAGACACCTCACAAATCCTGAGAGCATCAAAGTATTACAACATATTATAAAAACTAATATTCAAAATGATTCTGTTAGATCATCAAGAAAACATTAAATTATGTTTAAAAGATATTGTTAGAGAAGTTGGGGAAGTACATATTTTTAAAAGATTTCCATCACAGTGGCTTACATTTCGGAAAGTTTTGGCACTGAAAGAAATAACCTTCTGCTATTTGTGAAGTTCACTTAGGTGAAATACTTTTATTCTTTTACAGTTCTGGATAAATGAACTTATATTACCTTATTTCCTATTAGTATTTTACTATTTTTAATCGTCTGTGTCAAGTCAACAGGTGTCCTTGAAACTATCCCAGAAAATACTGTGGAACTAACCTATATGCACATTATTGTGGGTTACTATATAATGCTAAAGTTTTCTCTGTCCAAAAGAGAAACAAATGTGAAGAAGAGCAGGGTCATTTTATAGCCATGCCTGCCCATTTCATATCTTGAACCCTCTATCCAATATTAGCTAATAGCAAATACGGCCACTTCATGGTCATGGTTTTGCAAAAACTCTTGAGAGTCATGAATTTTCCTCCATTCTCTTCATCCTTTCTGGTCCTACATTCCCACCCTACTTGGATGTTTATATGGCTCTTTATCCTCAAATACAATTAGCTGAATAGGCCTAGATACTTGTTTCTTTGTATTATTTTTACTTGGTTAAACAACAACACCTTTTGTTCTTCAAACTTAGGTCTTTCGTAGACAGAATGAAGTTTTCTTCTGTTATATCTTTAATGGTTGGCACTGTTTTATTTGTTACTCTTCTTCTAGAAAACCCATTTTTATTATGTTATATTTTTGTCATCATAGTCCCTTTTTATCCCTTATCCCCTTTATTATTTTTTGTATCTGCTGAGGGAGTTTTTAAAGATATATCTGATCTGATTTTCAACATTGTTCTACCTTTTATCATTTCCAATATCTCATTTGTTTTGCTACTGCATTTTCCACTTCCTTATACGGTTAATTTTGTCCTTATTTTGCCAATTGATATTAATTTCTATCTGACTTAGCCATTTCTCTTTTATTTACATTGTTTCATCTTGCATCTCTTTCAGAATTTGTGTTTGTGTATTTACTTTTATTAAATATGCAAAGCAATTGTGTAAAGTTTACTTCAGTTTCTTTTATTTTGCTCATGCTTTCTACCTCTCAAGTGTTATGTTATACTTTTATATTACATAATATTTTTATGGTACCTGTGTTTGTCTGCTTTTTCTCACTTATCCTTGAACAGGGACAGGTCTATACAATCTGGGATGCTTACCTATAAATTGGATTTGTGACTTCTCTCTGGTTTTTCTCACTAGAGGCTGATGCCGAGCTCCTCTTAGACTCTAAGAGAAGATCTGATACATGATCCTATAACATATTTCTGGAAATTTTGTCTAAATTGGATCTGCTGGTCAGAGTCTTGGTCATCTAATTTTGCTGCCTGATTGTCTGATGCCTATGTAAGCTAGCACAGGTCTCCTGCTCCTCTCTCCGACTCTTCCACATTGTCTTTGTTGTGCTGACTTTATATCTACTGATGTAAACTCCCTCTCCTTGTGCATTTCCACCTCCATTCATGTTACATTGATAAGAATTTTAGACCCAAATCAGAGATAGAAAGCATGGGTTTCAGATGAGATGGATCTAGTGAGTGGAGTGGCTGAGTTCTTGCACAGCAAGGAAGCAACTTCCCTCCAATTCTTGTCCTTGAAAATCCTGTTTCTCCTGGAGAATTTAAGGAAATCTCTCAAAATTGTTTTGTATGACTTTGATATTTTGCCTCAGATTGCTTCCACTTTTTATAGTGACAATTCACTTTATTTTGCAGTCTAACCACTCACATGTTACTAGCTTTTGTCTCAGCACACCTCTAATGCTGCCTGGCTTGTTTAAAATGCTCGATATAAATTTGTTGAATGAGCAAGTGAATGACTTAGTCTTTTTTGAGAATTTTAGAAGGACTAACTATGTTTAACTATTTGTTGTTTTAATACTTTTTCTCCATTAGTTTTCTTGTTAGGTGTTTTGCAAACTATGCCTTGGGAGTACCAGATCCATAAAATGTTCTGTGAAAAAACGGTTCCTTGGAAAAATAATTTTTGGAAATGCTGCATATTAAATCTTTCTCTTAGAAGTCTAGTCATATGTAAATATATTAAGGGCCCAAGAAGGTCTGTACCAACAAAATTGTTTAACTTGAATTCCATAAAAAGTTTCGCAAGTTTATTTGATCACAGAAACCTATGAATATCCCATAAAGCATACTTTGGGAAACGCTGCTCTCATTTTTAAAGTACTGTAGAGTTCTTGTGAACCTCACAGAGCTTATTGTAGACATTTTTCATGAAATAAACTTCGAGTATTTTCTATTTGAGTTGCTTGTTCAGTCATTCAAAGAAATGTAAATTACAACTAAATATAATTAGATTGTCCTCGGTTAAGTCAGGAATTTCTAGCTCAGGTTTTTTTTCTCATTTGGTATTTTGAACAAGATGTGATTTCAGTGTTACTTCAGGCATTTAGTATATTTAAGAAAAGGAGATAGATATTTTATTGCTGCACTGAGGTGAGAGAGCCCTTCATTTCCCATGGCATGGAAGCATTTCTGTACTTCCCTGAGCTTAATAAAAGTGATAGTTTGTCCTTACAGTTTTAATATTCTGTATTAATCTAGGAAATAAGTCTAGCTGTGCAGTTTTTCTATCAAAATGGTATAAATAGGCAAAGTAGGAAAGCTGACAAATTTTATTTTCGGTTTTGAGTATTAAATCCTATATTGTATTCCTACTTTGTTTGTCTTTAGGATCACACCTTACCCAAGCTCAAGTCATCTTTTCTTTTGACTCTTCCTATGCAATTCAAATGTGCTTTACTAGTTTAGCTCTTCATTTGACTGATTGGGAAACCTTCCCTTTTTTGGTAACTGATGCCAATCCTTATAATATTCTTTTCTATCCAAATGGTTTGTTTTCCCCTCACATCTTTTTTTTGTAATCAGTAGTTTAGGTTTGCTTTACTTTTTAAGTTTAGAGTTAGATTTGCACCAAGTTAGAAGAATTTTTAAAATAAAAGTTTTGTTTTAGAGGCTTTCTCCCCCCCAGTAGTAGTGGCAGAAGGGATAGGTGAAAGGAAATAATGTTAAATAAAGCCCAGTAAGTTTTCAACTGAACAAGTTTTCCCACTGGCTTACTAAATCTGAAAGAGCCACGGGTTTTCGTATTCTAAGTTCTAGTTGATGGATTTTTCCCTACATAAAAGTACGTATTGTATTTCCATACTTCCTTCTGAACAAGACCACCATCTACAGACCTCTTCTCTAAGATATTCTTGTAGACTCAACCATCTCGCATACTTCTATATTTTAGAATTAAAAATGATTTCTAGAAATATTACCTAAGCATTAATCTACTGAAGGAATATGACCAAAAATACTTTTTCCCCCCTAGAATTGACAAACATAATTTAAGTAAAAGATAATTGACTGAGCATTTACATTCACTGTAATAAATGAAATTCTAACTCTGGTTTTGTGTTCAACAGACAAACAACAGAAAGGTGAATTTGCAATAGATGGCTACAATGTCAGAATGAATAACACCCTTAGGAAGGATGGAAAGAAAGATTGCTGTTTTGAAATTTCTGCTCCCGATAAACGTATCTATCAGGTTGTAGTTTTTATGTTACTTTGAAATTAAGCTGACAAAATATTTTTATTTCAATTATAGTGACATTAACATTTTGTTAAAACAACTTTTCCTGACATGTTGATAATAATAATAATGATGCTGGTTTTTATACATTGAACATTCATAAAAGAGGAAATACATTTTTAAAAATTTCCGAGTAGTTCAAGCATTATCTTTTTGAAAAAGCTCGATAGAATATATAACTTGTCAGTTACTTCTTGTATTGCATTTTATATCTATTTTAATAGAACTGTATGATCTTCTAAAAGAATTACATAGCAGAAAAAGTCAGATTATCAAAAGAAAAATATCAGTGTTAATACATACTGTATTGCTTAGAGGTGTAGGAGAAAATGAAGGTAAAGGCACATATCAACTCTGCAATTCAAGAGCTATCAGCCAGGCATCAATATGGAATGTATGTTTAATAAGTTTTAAATATCTGAGATTGCAGTTGAAAGCCAGTTAATTAAGTTGTCAGGTAGTGTGTTGGAATCTGACAAGAACATTTTTAAGAAAACTGTACCCAGCAGTCTAAAGAAATTCATGGGTGTCTTCTAATTGTCAAGGGCAAATTTTGTTCATCAGTTCTGTCTTTGACATTGATGAAGAGAAGCAGCTTTTTTTCCTGCACAGCTGCCAGCTGCTGATCAGAGTTTCAAATTCATCATCCTCTGCTTCAATTACATAAATTTGTCAAAATTAACTGTACATTATAAGAAGCATCCTTGCAAGAAAAGTACCACTAGACATGAAAAGAATTACTAATGGTCTTAAAGAAATGGTAAGAATGCAACATACCTTTCATTTCTACTGTGGTGAGTTTCGCTCTTACTGTTTGTTTTTAATTAGTTTACTGCAGCTTCTCCCAAAGATGCTGAAGAATGGGTACAGCAGCTGAAATTTGTGTTACAAGGTAAGAGCAATCAATTGGACAAACTATCACAGTCTTGAAATACTGAGTAACTGAGTGATTTGGATTTTCATACGCAAAAACTTATTGCCTTCTGTGAGAATGTCCAAGAGGATGTGACTGGTGTTAATACAGACCATTTACTTCAGGTTTTTAAAGCATCTTTTCTATAAGTGCTAGTTGGCACCTTTAAAATTCACATATTTACAAAACAATTAACCTTTTAAAAATGCTTCAAGTTCAGGCTATAGCACATAACAATATTGTTACTTTATAGGGCTATATTTATTTATAAACTATAGTTTCAAGAATATCTTTTACATTAATTTAAAATTTACTCGATGCAATGTGTTTTGTAGATATGGAATCTGACATTATCCCTGAGGATGATGAAGAGAGAGGAGAATTATATGATGATGTTGATCATCCTCTCCCAACAAGTAGTCCCCCAACAACCAGTCACCCAATAGATGATGAAATTTATGAAGAACTTCCAGGTATTTATTTTTTAGTGATTCATTTAAAGATTTTAGGTCTCTCTCTCTCTCTCTGTGTATATGTGTGTATATGATTCGTCATCAAGTTGACAACTTGAGTAGACGATGAAGGGCTATTAAGAACAAAGACAAACTCTTCAAAACAGTATTTTACAAAAAGGCTTCTGCGCGAGGTACTTCAAGTGAGTGGATGTACACTTACAAAAAGGGAATGGGACGCTAAAATGAAGCAGATATGATCCTAATCTCTTGAGACTTTTGGCTCATTAGCATTGTTTATGCTACATAATTTTTTAATTAAAAAATTGACTTGCCTTACAGTTTTTTTCACCAACTCGCACATCATTTTTTATTTATACATCTTGAAACTTCCATTAACCAGAAGTTCTGTGCACACCCCATATGTCATCAACTTCTGCCTCACATATTTCTATGTGAGACTAAAATGTGTTGCATTGTCTTGGATGAATGTCATTGAACCATAAACAAATGTCTTGTGAGACTTAAGGTTCTTCTATTGATATTTATCATCGATATAAAATTAAAAAGTTTTCTTATTTTAAATTCTCAGGCCTGATTTAGTGTTTACATGCCTCAGTGTCTGTTATATAACATAAAATTAGTTGTCTGTTAGCTACTTGACTTGTAGTTTTGAGAATCAATCTAAAATAGGCTACTAGAATATGAAAACATTCAGGAAATTATTACATTACTAATACTCTAGGTTGAAATGTGCCTTTTTCTGGCTGTTAAAAACCTCAGTAGTTAGAGAAGAAAAAAGTATTTAAGCAAAGTAAGTGAGATTTAACTAACATCTCAGATAGAGAGGCTATTTTTCTCTGAATAGAACAATTTAATGACAAAATGTAAACCTTTAAAATTGATTTTAAAAATACTTAAAATGTCCCAAATTAATGTACAAATGTCATTTTCAACATAGTCAGCAAAGTGTGCTAACTAGAGTATGGACTTTAGAGGAAAAAAATTTAAATTCTGGCTATACCATTTACTAGTTCAGTGACCTTATACGTTAATTTCTTCATCTATAAAATGGAAATAATATCATTGGGAGGGGCAAAGAATGTAATCAAAAGCTCTCAACACAGTGCTTGAATCATAGGAAGCCCACAGTTAATTGTAACATCATCATCATTATTGCTTGTACTGTCATATCTGGTGAACTCACGAAAGTACTTACATAAATTACAATGATGATTTTCTGTTCAAGTAACAATGAATAATTGTAAGAATATTATAAATTTAAGATATTATAAAAACTATATATGCACCTACATATTGTCTTTTACTACCTTAGAAGAAGATTTTGTGTGGAATAGTGGTCTGTATATTTCTATCATTTAGTAGAGCTATATGTTTATAGCACCATCCTTTCTGGTTTATCCTAAGGAAATGGCAACTTCTGGATCATCAGTTATCCTCAAGTAGGGAAGAATATTCTCTGGCTGCGTTTCTTTTAGTCATATCGTATCATTAATACAATTATTTAAGTCTTTAAAATATTTGAAAGAAACTTGAAGAATGCATACCGGTATAAAATTGAAGAGTGGCCTCCCTTTAAACATGATATTACTGTTATACACATTTCATCTCTTTAATAGCCTGCGATGAATGTGCTGCATTATGGTTGTTGAATTAGCTGTTAACTTCTGTGTTTCTTCAATTTGACTTTTTAATTCCCACTCTCAAATAAAAAAATTGATCAGGAATAAAGATCAAATATTTATAGTTATTTTCATAACAAAGACTCAAGGAAGATATCCTGTAAGTAGCTTGAAATTCTAAAAATATGAAAGATCTTTTATTTTCTCCCACTACAGCTGTTCTTCTTTATCCTTTTCTTTGGCCTGGGGCCACATAATTGTTGGAAATAACTGGTTACTCTTAAGTAGTGTTACTTCTTGCTGTGGTATTGGGAGAAATATAAGCTGCTCTAGGATTTCTTTGCTCCTGCCTGGGATCCCCAGTTGCTGTACAAAGTGATTGAGCTTGATAGAGCCTGCAACTATGCCCCTGGGAAGGAAGCTGTTGCAGGCAGCTGTGGAATGTCTAGTTCTTCTTTCTTCCCTAGTGTAACTGAGAGCTGCTTCAACATCTGCCCAGTTCAGCAAGTCTGTCGAGTTTGAGCCAGCAGCTACAGAGGGGATTTTTCCTGATGAAGGCCCCAAAGTTGTCTCAGAGTTAGAAGTTTTGTTTGATAAAATGTCGAAAACTAGAAAGCTAACCTTTTTTAATAACAAAAATTATCCCTCTTTCCAGACAAAATTAAGCTTATTGCTTTCACATCTGTGAAATCTGAATATAATTTTGAGGTGAGGGAGGTGAGAATGTTAGAAAAGCAGCACATTTACAAACTGTTGGTATTTTTCCAGTTCTGTAGAAAGAACTGTGTATGGGGGGAGGCCAAAAAGAAACGGAATTTATTCATAAAAGATTGTGTATTTATTCCTACATGTTTAAACTTCAGTCACTTTCAAAGTACTCTCTATTTGATGTAATACAGCTACCAAGACACTTTTTCCACTGCTCAAAACAGTTTTTGAGCTCGTCAATTTTGATGCCTTTTATCGTTTCTGCCGTTTCTTGTTTCACCTTTCCACACTGGCAAAACGTTTTCCTTTGAGGACTTTTTCATCTGGGGTAACAAAAACGAGATCGGGTAAATGGGGAGGGGGTACAGGGATCATACTGGTTTTGGTCAAAAACTGCTGAGCACTCAGTGCAGTGTGGGCCTGTGTGCTCGTAAATCACCCATCATGAAATGGGCAAATGCATTGAAAAAATCTCCCCCACAAAATTCACTGAAGTCGGAGGTAGCCTCTCATAACAGCACTAGCTAATATACTAATGCTGATGGGTTCCTAGAACACTTACCCAGCAGTGGAAGTCTGTATTACAAGGGCTCTGTCCTCCGAAAGGTAATTCCTGGTTTTTTGGGTTCCCCCCTCGTATTTCTGATATCTGGTTAAGTCCGTAGAATTAAATAATACTACCATTTCAACACAAATTTCTGTCAATTACATGTTGTTGAAAACTAATCCTTCTAGTTGAAAGGTTTCCTCAACTCTTTTTTTCCTCACATACATTTCCTCAAAATGTATTTGAGGAAAAATCAAAGCATCTAGCATACTACTTTAAATCACAGAGCCCTTTTTCTGAGAAAGTAAAGCTCTTACTCTAATACGGGTATTTTAAAGAAATATAGAGTAAGCCTGCAGTGTTTACGTTTCCAGAGTAAGAAGTAAAAAATATTGCTTAAAAATTGTATTGTAAAATATCCCTTGAAAAATGTTTATAATACTATGGGAATGTAAATAGTTTTATTGTAATTGTTTTTCAGTTAGAATATTCTAACTGTATTGTAGCACTTTCTCTTTAATTTCTTGTTCCTTAATTTTTAAGTAACTTCATAAAAGAATAAGAATACATTTTAAAATTTTCTTTGTGTTTAGGGGATTTATACATATGTACAAAAGAGTTGAAGGAATGCCATTTCTGGGGAGTATTAAAGGTATTGGGCTTTTCTTCAAATATTCCAGTGCTTTCACATATTTTATGTCTTATTACTTATCAGCATAGGCCCGTCAGGTTTGCTTACATTGTGATATTACTATGGCATAGTTGTGCTTACCTAGCTAATACATTGATCAAAGTATATTAAACTGTTTTGTAAAATATAGTAGCAAGTTCCTTCGGCTTAGCACAAATTTCAGAATTTATTGTTCATTGTTTCATTATAAATACAGAAGAGTGTTTTTGTCTGACTTTGGATCTCAAGAGGTGTAATAAACAATACTTGGGGAATTGCTACAGAAACCAACCCAGCTTCCCCTTCTTTTCTACCTACCATGTCACTTGATTTTTTGTTTTCCTTAGTGGCAGGAAATTGTGCAGAAGCAACAACAACAAAAACATTTTTCTAGATATGAGTGAAATAGAATCAACTTAGTAATAAAAATGATACCCACCCATTAACCTATTAAATTTGTAACTTTCAGAGGAATTGCACTTGAAATGTCTTCTGGCAAGTGGACTGGAGGAAGGAGGGCAATGTAAAACAGGAAGACAAATTTCTATTCCATTAGCCTATTTTATGAAAGTGTGAATTCATTTGTTTTTAAATTGCCGTGATGGATTGAACTATTCTGAGTCAGAAAAAGATGTTTTTATCCTTTGGTCAATCAATTATGTTTTAAATTTATTCAGTCCAAGTACCTGCATCTAAATGGAATATAAAGTCAAATGCAGCTATAAGTTTTTTCAATGAAACTATTAGGTATACCTAAGAAAGAACAGTGTTTGGGTACTTAAATTTAAAATGGTTTCTAGCAAGTAAACACAAATGCTGATTTAAATGCATTTTAGCTGTATTTTCCTCCTGAATAATTATCACTCATATTGCTAAGTTAATATCAAGGTTATAGAGGTCCCTGCAATCTCTAGTATTAGCATTGTTTTAAATGATAGTAGGTTCTGACTTCACCAGACAATTTATCTCATTTCTTCTTTGGAATGCAATGGAGAGATATCAGTTAACCTTTACAAAACCTCACATATGCAATATTTTAATATCATTTGTCCAGGCAGCCTACTAACGTTCTTTTTCTTAAACTATTGTACTGAAATATAAAGCTATTACATGTGGTGATATTGTGTCCGAATATATGGTACATTTTTTTCCCTAGTAGATAACTAGATTAGGGTAAAATTTTGGGATGATTTGAGCACTAAACTGTGAGGGGGGTTATCTGAAGTTATAAAAAAGAAAAGAAAACATTTATAAATTAGCATTATTGCATACATCTAAATTTTTATCTTTGTCAAATATAAATATATCTTTGCTGAATATTTATATTTAGTTTTCTTTAAGTTGCCTATTTTGTAATATGGTATGCAACTTTGGGATACAGTTCTGCTTGTCACATAGCTTTACTTTACCATTGGCATTGCAAGTTCTTTTTATTACAAGAGGTAGTTTAACA